GAATTTAAGAGTTTAGAGGTGATCTTTTAACACTTGAATCCAGTCTTAATAGTAGTGTAATAGGTATAGTTTTACACACTGGAACAGAGATGTCATGAAGTGTTTGAGTAGGAACGTACTTTGAAAAAATGAAACAAAACACCTAGTCCAAAATCATCATTGTGAATTAGAAAGTCAAAGCTCAGAAGACAAAGAGCTTAATGCTTCACATTGGGTTGGGGCAGAATGTGGCCTCTATGCCTGGCTTCTTGACTCACATAGACCAGTCCTCTTCCAAAATGCTGGGCTGCTTTTACTGAGTCCACTCTCTAGACCAATGCTTCCAACACTTAGTCATTTATCTTTATAATTTTTTATATGCACGAATACCATCTGTATTATTTTTTAATTTTTATTTAAATTGACTCTATTTTACTTAACTAAAATCCATATATTTGAAAATATTACTACCATAAATGTAAAAATAAAGATAACCAATAAAAAAAAAAGGTTAAATTCTAACTTTCACAAAACTCCGAAACTGAGACCTGCCTTTCTTTGTTAAAAAGGAAAATCGCATTTATGTCATAATCTCACCACCTCGAGACTTTCTTCATATCAGCAGTAAAAGAGAAATAAAAAGGCAGGACTTTCTTGGTATACAATGGTGACAGACACCGAAGGTCGGCTCATACAACTCCCATATCCAACCTGTCTTCTTTGCTGCCTGCCTCTGCTATATAAACTGTAAAAGTAAGAACCAGACCTCCTAGCCTCCCTTGCAGTCAGTGGTAGCCATGCAACCCAGCTCTGGCCTATGAGATGTAAAAAGAAGTCCCCAAATGCTACCTTTTCCTTTTCTTTTTTCCTGCTTAGATATAGACATGACACGTGGAGTCACTATAGCCATTTGCAATCATGAGGTAATGATCAAAGTCCAAATCCTAAGGCTGGCAGAGCAGAAAGAAAGAACACAATGTTGAATAGGTGCCCCAGACCTGCCTACCTCCTCACTCCTTGCTACGTGGGGAAAATAAATTCTATTTGTTTGAGCATTAATCAAAGTTTTTCTTATTACCTACCAAATAGAATCTTAACTGACCCAGTGTTTATTAACTCCACGTGCATGGCACCTGAAATCAGCTAGACACCACTGGTGGTATGTGTCTCATGCTTTGGGAGAACATTCTGTAGGAGAGCCTGTATTAGTTCGCTAGGGCTGCCATAACAAGGTACTATAGATTGGAAGCTTAAACAGCAGAAATTTATTTTCTCACAGTTTTGGAGACTAGAAGTTCAAGATCAACGTGTTGGCAGGTATTTTAAAGAAATTTAAGATCAAGGTGTTCTTTTGCGGCATCTCTCCTTGGCTCACAGATGGCCGCCTTCTTGCTGCCTCCTCACATGATTTTTCCTGCGCGTTGCCTGTGTCCTTCCTATTCTCTTCTTATAAGGACATCAGTTACATTGGATTGGGTTGCATCCTAACAGTCCCATTTTAATTTAATTGCCTCTTTAAAGACCCTATAGTCACATTGCAGAGTACTGGGAGTTAGGGCTTCAACACATGAATTTTGAAGGGACAGAGTTCAGCTCATAACAGAGTATAATGGTTTATTTTTTGATAGAGCTATTTTTTTCTTCCCTGAAATCTTGCAGTCACATGACAGCATGGCTCACAGTTGTTCAACATCCACAAGCAAGATCACCAGTCTTCAGATGAGGGGAAAGTGTCCTGGATTTGTGATCAAAAGGCCTGTGCTCTAGTTATTGATCGTCCTCTTGCCGGCACACTTAGCCTCTTGAAACTGGTGTCAGCGTCTGTAAAAAGATGTGACTATTATATGTAATAATGTATATGGAAGTATCTAGCACATAGTACAGATATTTTATCAAATCTAAAATGACATCAATTATAAGATAACACGATTATGCTATATGCACCCAAAATGGCAAAATCATGCCATGGGGGCTTTTAAAATTACCAATTCAGGAAACCCAGCCTAGGTTCATTAAATTTGAATCTGAGATCAAGTTCAGGAATTGGTACTTTTTAAATTTCCCATATTATTCCAATAATCTGATCGATTCTGAAGTAATGGCTTTCAGCATACTGTCAGTCAATGTGTTGAATAACCCAAAATTTAATTCTAAGCTTCGATCTTTGGGGCTATTTATCAGTATCTTAGATATTCTATAGGAAGCCTGAATTTCAGACTTTGCCAACAAAAACCCATTGCCCAAATTCCTTACATTCTCTAACACATTCACGGAATTCCAGAAGGTCCTGACTTAGGAGCTGCATATAATAAATACTTCCGTAGAACATGTAAACCAAGCTCTTTCTAGTGGTAGGAATGCTGTGGCATTTACTCTTTATAGTGGTTTTCTGATCTCTTCCCCTGACTATAACCTGGGGGTACTGAGCCCACATGTCATTCTATACTTTTACAATCTTAAATGATATACTATCAGTTCCTTGTATGTATATTTTAAACATTTTTGTAAAAATTAAAAAAAAAAACAGTCAAATCTTCTTAAAAATTATTTTTCCAAATACCTATGTTTGAATCCTGAGTAATGGAATGCTACTGTGACAACAGATAAATCCAATGTCAAGATTAGAGGGCCACTCTGGACTCCTTGACCTCTTTATAGCTCGTTAGTAACCCATCTGACCGCTTCCACTGCAATATTATCCCACAGCCCTCACGCCCACATGTATGATCTCAACAGAGTCCAATCCCTTGATTTCACAGTGGAACAAACTGATGCCTCTCCTCCCCCATCCCCTGGCAGAGAAAGTAGGTGACCTGCTCAAAGTCACATACAAGTTAAGCTACTGATATTGAGTCTACTCCCGCACCACTTCCCTTCTGTTCCTCCCACCCCCGCATCTATTGATGACACCGCAGAAAACTTTTAGCAAAAGCACAGGACACTGTCACCAATGTAGTCCAACCTAATGGGAAACTGCCCTGAAGCCCACCCAGATCATTCCTGAGCCACATAATTTTTGTTTTCATGCAGATTCCATCAGAGCCTTGGCTAAATCCCAGGGAAGCACATATCAGATCTGTTGTATATTGGCAGAACTTTGGCTTAGAACATATTTCAAATGTCTCCCATGGAACATTGGCAGCCTTAAAAAAACATGGCCAGGAAATTATTCCAAGAGGTTCAATTGCTCTACGACACTTTATGAGGAAAACTGATGGCTTTCCCTCCCAAGCTCTTCCCTCCATGTCCAGGACAAATGACTTTCGTTTCCCTGTATGTGTGTGCCGTACCTTAGGGGAGGGCCAGCTCAGCTGTAGCACGAATAGAAGGACCATCTTTAATGGGCAGGGCCCTCTGCACAGTGCAATGTGCTTTGCACCAAGTTCTTTCTCTTTTGGTTTTAAAACCCTTGTGTATTCCAAGAGAGATGTAGTCCATGTGTTTCTGATTCATTTACACTTAAATCATTAAAATGTTTTTGCGAGAGTTATTTGATGTCTGAAGAGCCTGTAAGTCTTCTTAATGGGATTTTAAAAGTTTTCTTTTTTTTCTATTCTGCATGAAATCCAAAGTAACATTTTGTTGAAACAGTGCCTGAGGACAAACATATTCTCTCATCCTATATACTCTCACCCACATTATCAACCACAGCCTCTTAATAATGTGAGGCTTGGCAAGGCTGACACTTGAAAGTGTTAAAATAGAGATAATGGAGCAAGAATTCCAGCGAGATTCGAGGCAATTTTCCCCAGAATGTGCCAAAGCAGAGTTGGGAGTGTTTGCCTCCTTGTTTAGAGTGGTATATCTCTCTCAGATATACCACTGGACAGCCAAAAAAGCACTCTACAAGCATAATATAACTTAAGCTTCATAACAACCCTGTTTTCCAGATAAGAAAACAGGATCAAAGATGTTAAGTATTGGTCCCAAAGCGCACAGCTGGCTTGTAGAGAAAGGAAAGCTTACAATTAAGTTCTGACTCTAACACTCTTTTCGAAATGCCTCAAATTGAGTTTCTCTGTGAATATTGTGTGTGCTTGAACTGTCATGTGCATTATAATATATCAGCGAGAAGCAGTATAGTATAATAGGTAAGAGCTTAGAGTTTTCTCTCATTGCTTTCTAGCTGTGTGACCTTGGGTAAGTTACTTAACTTCTCTGGGCAGTTTTCTCACCTGTAAATGGGGGCAATATTGTTGCTCACCTATATAAGATATAAATATGATTAGAGGAAATTAACACATCACTAGAACAGTGCCTGACACATATTGCTCAATAAATGTTAGCTAGTAATGGTAGTAGCAGTAAGAAGTAACAAAGAGCCGGGTAATCTCGGCAAGTCGTGTAACGTCTCTGAGCCTCAGTTTTCTCATTTGTAAAATGAATTTAATGTATGGACCTCACAAATTTGTGGGATGATGTTTGTGCCTAGCACCATCCCTAACGCAGAAAAATCCTCAGCAAGATCTAGTTTTTATACTATATGTTGCGGAGGGAGTGATTTTCAGATCTGCCACTGATCTCTCCACAAACCCTGGGTGTAGATGTGTGTTTGAGCCCAGGTCTTCCTACAACCCAGGGTGTGGGTCTTTCTTGCTGTATTAGACCTCTGCACACCCTGAGTTGATAAACAGCACAAGTACTGTGTTTAAGTGGGAAAAAGAACTAGTCAACTGTGGGACTTGGTGCTCCCTCACATTCCGGGCCAATGGCTCTGCTCACAGAAGAACCTGCAGTATTTGCCCACAGACTGAGGCTTTGGGGTTGGGATCTGTTTTCTTTCCCAATGTAGATGTTAGAATTGCCTTCTTGGTTGGTGGTTTCTGTTTAATTGGTGTCCTTTTGCCGGTACCCTGAAAAAGAGCAGAAAACTATAGCCATCTGGCAAGAGAGACTGAGGAGAAATTAGACTTTGTCCCCCTCCACCCTCTACACACACACACACACACACACACACACGCACACACACACAGTGACACAAATACCTATTTGAGCCGTTGGTTATTTTCTCTCAAAGGCTGGAGCCAACCACACAGAATAAAGAAGAGAACTGGAGGAGCAGATCTCTCAAGGAAGAAGACAGATTCCGTTCTGTCAGGTTCCTCTGAGTGTGTGTAAGTGCGAGTCAGAGGAGAGAGAGAAAGGAGAGAGGAAAAGGCAGAGGGAGAGAGGGGGAGAGGGGATCTGTTGCAGGCAGGGGAAGGCGTGACCTGAATGGAGAATGCCAGCCAATTCCAGAGACACACAGGGACCTCAGAACAAAGATAAGGCATCGCTGACACCACACCAAGGATCAGCTCACAGACAAGTCAGGCCGGGAGGACCAAGGCCAGGCAGCCGGGATCACCCAAGGCAGGAAAATGAGGTAAGTGCCAGGGCAGGAGTGGGCACGGGTGTTCCTGCAGGGACCAGGTGTCAAGTAGCCATGAAGGGTCTGACCTTGTCTTTCGGTAGACTTACCTGTGTGTCCTGCGGGTGGTACAGGGGGGTTATCATCGATCCTTAAGGGCTCTGAGAAGGGAGATGAGGTCTGGGTGCCTTCCCAGGGACTCCGGAGACATGCAACTTGTTTCAAGAGACTTTGTGCAAATCCTGCCCCGATACTGCTGAGGCTCACATTTCTCTTCTGCCAGCATAGGGTGCTGCCTGCTGGCAAATGCGACTTTCCTCCTGTTGCCCACAGGCTGATTTTTTGTTTTCTTTCTCTGCAAAGAGCATTGGTTTATCTCTCCCAATACTTTGTGAGTTAGATATGTGTTTGTGTGTTTATTTGTTCTGACCGGAAAAAAAACCAGCTTCCCACAGCTCAGCTCTGGCTTCTTAAACCTTCAGAAGTTGCCCAGTTAAAACCTTTATTTAGAAAACTAAAAATCTGTCCTTGTTTTACAGTTCCCTATAAATTTCTGCATTTCTCACTGAAATCAGAGGCAGCTGGTGGCATGAATCAGGCTATCAGTTGCACCAAATGGCTCTTAAAGGGATACCACAATTTGTTTTAAAAAAGAGACTTTAGAGTTCTGAAACTAGGACTTTAAATTCTAACATTTTTTTATGCTCTTCAATATTTTCTATTCCTCAGCCTACTCTTAGAGTTACTTGATCCTTCTTACCAGACATTCCTTGTAACTTTTCCTCTGCAAGTCTCAAAACCCTACCACCATAATTACTTTTACTACTTATAAATGTTAATGCTGTTAAAAATACCAAAAAAAAAAAAAAAGGAAAAAGGAAAAAGAGAAAACTCTGCAGATATGCTAAGTCCCTAAATGCCTCTTTTCCCATTAATTTCTCCTCAATTGAAAAAGGGATTCTATTTGTTTCTCTTCTGCGAAGTCGCCTAGCAACTTTCCTGGGTCAGGGGTCAATGAGGGGCTTTAGACTGTTAACTCTTTGAACTCAGATTACCTGTGATTCAGAGAGATAATCAGATCTTGAAGGTTAATTCAATCATTCGGTTCTTTTTTAAATCCATTATAATTTTAAACCTGCCATCTAACTTCATTTTTTTTCCTCCTAAAAGAGATGAGAGTTATACCATCTACACAGAATGACAATTAGATTGATCTGTCACTATTCGAATCTCACCTTACCAAATGCCCCAGCCATACCACACTACATAGCTGATTAACAGTTCTGTATCTTGGCATTTATCATTCCTTAGTCCAGAACAGCCCTCCCCCTTATTTTCTACTTGGGGGACCTGATTGTTCCAGCGGGCTCAAACATCACCTTCTCTTCCCTGGCCAGCATCCCCAAAGTGAGCATCCTCTCCTTCGTGTTGTCTCTGTCATTTAGGGCCTGTCCTTAGGGGATACATCTCTTCTTGTCTTTGTAATACTTCCTTGTTTAAATGTCCACTTCCTCTTCCAAGACTGAATGTTTCTTAAGGTACAGTATCTACATCTTGTTCATCTTTGCATGCACAGCACCTAGCATGATGTCTGTTTCCTATTAGGTATTCAATAAATATCAACTGAATTGAATTCAGCTGTTGAATAGCAAAAGTATTGGAAAATGCTCCACTAGAAGTCTTTAAAGGGTCTTGCCTCACATAGAACAGCAGTTCGGAATTTGCAAAACAATTTTATAGGCATTGTCTCATCTAGTCTTCAAATTTTGGATAAGGTAAGGATTGATGGAGAAATGAGGATGAAAGCAGTTAACTTGCCCGAAGATACACTGATGTTTTTTGAAAAGGCTCAGACATAAACCTGGTTCTTTGGGCTCCAAGTCCAGGATTTTTTCTACTATATTCCACCAGACTCTCAACCAAGTGTATCTTTCTATGCTGGCAGCTCTCGATCCTACCTGCATATTACAATCATGTGTAGTGCTTTAAAAATTGCCAATGACTAGACCTCACTCCAGACCAATTAAACTAGAATCTTTTGGGGAAGGGTATGAGTATCTTTCTCTCTTTCTTT